CCGTGTTGTCCTTCAAGGTTTCGGTCTGCGTGGGACTTTCCCTCCCTTCCCTCTTTCCCGGCTCGACCAACTTCGTGTCCTTTCTCTCCAAAACAACTCCCTCTCCGGTCCCATCCCTGACCTGTCCCCACTTTTTAACCTAAAATCTCTGTTCTTAAACCATAACTCCTTCTCTGCTTCTTTCCCTCCTTCCATTTTATTGCTCCATAGATTAACAATCCTTGATCTTTCGTACAACAATCTCACTGGACAGCTTCCCGTAAATTTATCTTCTTTGGACCGGTTAAACTCGCTCCAACTCGAGTTTAATCAGTTTAACGGGACACTCCCTTCTTTAGACCTCCGACTTCTTGTTTTCTTTAATGTTTCTGGTAATAACCTTACCGGCCCCATTCCTTTGACCCCTACATTGTCACGCTTTGACACTTCCTCTTTCTCCTTAAATCCTTATCTTTGTGGAGAGATTATTAATAAGGCTTGCAAGCCACGGTCTCCATTTTTTGATTCTTCGGCTTCTCCTACTGCTAGTTCGCCGGCAGGAGTGCCGTTTGGACAAAGCGCTCAAGCTGGAGGTGGGGTTGTAGTATCTATAACTCCTCCTCCTAAGCAGAAGCCTAGTAGAAGTGGTGTTGTTTTGGGATTTACTGTTGGGGTTTCGGTTCTAGTACTGTCTTTGCTGTGCTTTGTTTTAGTTTTGGTCAAGAAACAGAAGCAAGAAAGACATGCTGAAGAAGAGAAAGAACAAGTGGTGACCGGGACGGCTTCTCCGGTCAGAACACCTTCGAACAATCCGGCAATGCAAATTCAAGTTGGAGAAAAGGGTCATGAGATTATAAATACGAAGGCAAAAGAAGGGCTGGTTCAACAAGTTAGGAAAGCGGAGAAGAGTGGGAGTTTAGTGTTTTGTGGAGGGAAAACACAGGTTTATACATTAGAGCAGTTAATGAGGGCATCTGCCGAGTTGCTGGGGAGGGGTACAATTGGAACTACTTATAAAGCTGTTCTTGATAACCAATTGATTGTTACAGTGAAAAGGCTTGATGCTAGTAAGACTGCAATTACTAGTAGTGATGTGTTTGAGAGGCACATGGATGTTGTCGGTGCGCTTAGACACCCAAATTTGGTGCCAATCGCTGCTTATTTTCAAGCTAAAGGAGAAAGGCTTGTTATCTTCGATTATCAGCCCAATGGCAGCCTCTTCAATCTCATTCATGGTATTACTTTGTTTTTGTCCCCTTTCTTTCTTGATGTTTGCCTTGGCAGAACTACATTTCTCTTGTTTCTGTTTCTGACTTCGTCACCTTTTGAGCTAGGACCACATCTCCACTACATGGTTTTTCTTCTTAATTTAAACATTTAAGGTATTTTCGGGCTAGCTTTTAGCACCGATGCTAAATCCTTCTCAGGTCACAGGCAGGCCTTCAGTAACAAGTCTATATCCAAACCGGTACATTCATGAGAAATTATATTTCTCTAGGTCTCGAATATGATGCGAACACTAGAATGATAACGTAGAGAGAGCAAACCAATGACGATTTTGCTGAGATAAAATTCTGGCATTTCAGTTAAATACAATGAACACATGTAAAGGAAAGTTCTACCAAGAGTTCATTTCATTTATAATGGACCTAGCTAAGAGAAATAAATAATCCAGTTGGACCCACCTTAGAGTAGTGTCCTGATGTGTTATGTCACTGTTTGGTAATGTCTGGACGTGTGTACTATTTAGCATTGGATGGCTCATAACCTCTTAAACTGTTGCAGCTTTTTTAGAATTTGGATTCTAATGTTCATGTTCCACTGCCGACAATCACGGTGTTGTTTTCAAAATGAACCAGTTATTTATAAAGAAATGTAGTGGCTTTAATCATGTTGTTGGCTAGACAGCAAGTCAAAGTGAATAGAAGATTTTGTCCTTACAGCTCTGTTGATGTAATGAAACAATCTCAAAGCATGGGTGGTTCCGCAACTGATCAACGTGCAGCTCTGCTGTTAGTGTTTTGAAGTTTAAATCTTAGTCTTTGTTCTTGGTATCCACGTACGATCTTCATAGTAAATGTACGAAGAAAATCATGTTAGGAAGACGCATGATTATCATCTTTTGAGACCATGATGCCATTCTTCATGGTCAACACTCTAGTGACAAAATCAGAATTTGTTGACTGATCTCATGGTTTAACCAAATGATTGGGAGGAATTAATGGTGCTTATCTTTCGACAGGCTCATAATTGTTTAGCATATGAATTAAGCGTAGATAGAAATGTTGAATATATAGCCTGGGTGTAATGGTACCTTCTTTTGGCAGTGTTAGCCATCTTCTAAAAACATCAATTTGATGAACACACCCAAAAGCGTAAGCTACTGCACTCCCAAGCATAAGCATAAGCATAGTGGCTAATGCTTTTCTTAATACAATTTAACTTTCATAAAAGAACAAGTTATTGTTCTGCCTTAATTGATCCTCATCTGTAGATTGCATAGGATGCTTATGTTTTCCCAGTTGTTAGTACTGCATGTATTGCATTGCCATTCTAATTGCATGTTTTCTAGAAATTGTATTTGAAAAACTCTTGTATTAAAACAATTTTGTGATGGTGGCGCTGTCATAACTTTAGCTGAGATTATGAAAGGCCTTTTTTAAAATAAAAATAAAAAAGGGCTGGATTCTATCATTTATTTTTTGGATGCCTGTGATGGATATGCATGGCATGATCACTTTTCGTCAATGTGATTCTCATCTTGCAATCAAATGTCATCAATTTCTTTTATGTTTGAACAGATTTTGTATCCTTTTTCAATCCTTGTTACTGCTATCAAAGAATTTTTTCATACATTGTTTATAACAGAAAATAATTTGTGCAGGTTCAAGATCAACAAGGGCAAAGCCACTTCATTGGACATCGTGCTTGAAGATAGCAGAAGATGTGGCTCAGGGTCTTGCTTACATCCATCAAACGTCAAACCTTGTCCATGGAAACCTGAAATCCGCCAATGTTCTACTTGGAGCTGATTTTGAGGCCTGCATCACAGACTACTGCCTTGCCATGCTTGCAGACACTTCTTCTAGTGAAAATCCTGATTCTGCAGCTTGTAAAGCACCTGAGACTCGCAAGGCTAGCCGTCGAGCCACTTCCAAATCTGATGTCTATGCATTTGGTGTGCTATTACTGGAGCTTTTGACTGGTAAACATCCATCACAACATCCATACCTCGTGCCTGCTGATATGTTGGACTGGGTCAGAACAGTGAGAGATGACGGTAGTGGGGATGACAACCAGCTTGGAATGCTTACTGAAGTTGCTAGTGTCTGTAGCTTGACCTCACCGGAACAGAGGCCGGCAATGTGGCAAGTGTTAAAGATGATACAAGAGATAAAGGACAATGTCATGGTAGAAGATAATGCAGCTGATGGATATTCATAGCTCCTTTCTTTGTTTTCACATAATTGAGAAAGCATAGGAGAATTGAACTCGGGCGATCAGAACTATCCTTTTGGAAGGTATGTACCCCGTTGAAGAATTATAGAATGGAATGATCAATGCAAGCTATATGCGTGAAATGGGAAAATTTTCATTCTCCGGACTTCCCCTGCAGAAGTTGCTGAAACCACCGTTCTCGATGTCACGGATGTGGCATATAGAAATGCTGCTTTTTTTTTTCCCCTCTTTTTTCCCCTTATGGAGTGTTTATGATCATTTTGATTTTTGAGGTTTACTACATGATAACGCAGTACCTGTTTTTCTTGCCAAATCTACCAACGAAGGGTTGAACCAAGTCGATACAAAGTCCCTTTTTAAGATCAATGACCACATATTTTCAAGCAGGAGAGCCCAAAGCACTCTCGATGAATAGCAACATTGAAAGCACCATCTATTGCCAAAGAACAGAAACATACACGGGCATGGATTTGATGAGTGGAGAGATAGGGAATTGGAGATTCCACGAGCAACATGATTTTCATGATATAGAAGTTGAAACTGAGGTGAAGATAACGTTGGTGGAGACGGAGCTGGCTAGCTGCTTTCCCAGCAACCAAGCCATCATACCTGAATTATTTCTCATCAATAAAGATAGCAGCCATGGAGGATTCAACAGTTAACGACTATGCAGCTGGGCTAACTGAAGATGAATCAGTCTCTAGACCAATGCGTTTGGGAATCCTAGGTGACATCCACTCACAACACCTTATCGGAGGTGAGAATACCATAAAGGTCGACCAGACCTCTAATGAATCAACCCTCCATTTTTCTATCCGAACATCACAATAATGCCACCTCATAGTTGGCATCTTTACTGTAAAGGAGTGGTCCTACCTAAACCACAAACCATAACCAAGTAATCAACAGCGTTTGTGATAGCTACAACGGTTTTATCTAATAATTTTGTTGTTGAGAAACTTGTCCCCAGTGCATCCAATGCCCTACAAAGATGCATACAGCATACCCATAGCAGCGCTGCAAAGGCTGTCATTTAGCGAGTTGGCTTTCACCCTACAATGGTTAAGTGGCTCCTTTTGATAGTATCATCTTCGTGAGATGGCCCTGCGGGCTGCATCCTCTACTTTTGAGTACATGATCGGTGATATTTTTCATAAATGGATCCCTTTCAGTTTTCAGAGGCAATGGCCTGCATCTCCAGTTTTTGTCTAGCCAGACCCCACTGGGCCCAGGCTGTAAGAAAAACACTGATCTGATTTGAATAATTCAACTCAAGGCAGTTCCATTTGATTTCCCCGTGCGAAGTATACACGAAAACTGACAATGGAAAGCCTGTGGGACTGATAGAGTGCGGAGAAATAATAGAATACGACGGTCACTTTAGTTACATACAGGGACCATGCATTATGTTTACATGGCAGCCCTTCGGCAATCGCCTCTAATTCAATAACCCTCCATTTCACTTTTGTTTTGGGCTCCAGAATTATATCGCAGTTAACAAAATGTGTCGAAGACTTGAAGCCACGCTAGGATTCCAGAGTGAACAAAGGAACAGGGCTAGCTGCTAGACGGAAAAACTACTCTTCATTTATATCTCTTTAACTAAATCGTAACATGTACAGGCAAACTGGAAACAACCTACAATGAAAGGAAACATTTCCTCTTATTATTTTTTTTAATAGCAATAAACTCAATAGATTAACAGGAAAAATCCACATCCTGAAGCACAGCATCAAAATCTTCTATCATGCACACATGCTCAGTTGCTCAAACCTTCAGCCATTTTCCAAAATTTCAGTTAACCCATCAGCATGAGAAGATGCAGATGTCATGATTTAAGACGGCATCAGTAATTTCCCATTCTCTCTCTATAGTAACATCTTTGCCAATGTACAACAGCCTGTATTGTTGCAAGGAAAATAGATGTCATGCATTCTTGCTGGGAGAATCAAGAATTTAAAGGGTAGTAAAGCTAAACCAGTCACTCAAGATGACAAGGGTTTGATTCATTGGCAGAATGACAACATAATAACAGATCTGTGGAGCCGGTTTAAGCACAGGGCATGCAGAAAGTTACTCAGGAAAAGAGGGCCACAGTCCATATTCAAGGCTCTTGATGCTTTAAATCACCAGAGTAAAAGGATAAAATTAGGACAATCTTTTCCTGCAGAAAGGGCATCATCAGATCTGCTGTCACAATTTATTGGAATCTCAAGTTGTCCACACCGATCTCATGGTAGTTTAAAGATGACAGTTTTATGCAAGTTTAAATCCAAAGTTTAATGATTCTATGATAATTTGGTATTAAGAATAATCTGCCCACTGCAACTCTACCATGGGATTGCACACTGTATAGAACATCATGTTCAAATACTAAAAATTAACAAAATTTTCAATGCACTTGGTATGATCGTAAAAATATATGAAAAGCATGAGCAAGACTTACCTCTACTCGCATGAGTTTCACTCAACCATGAGTCAGATCATATAAGCAAGCAAGATATATGTACAGCATGTGGTGGTCATATCATAGCAACCAGAGCCTGTGAGCGAGGCCTTGACCTCATGATTGTTTCATCACTGTGTTTGATCCACTCTGAGAGCTTCCATGGTTTCTGCCACTTCCATTTGAACTGAAGCAGCCACTGATGATGACTCCTCTTCCATCGCCAGAGTTTTCCAGTTTGCCCTAAAGCTGCCAATTTCTTCATTGACAAATGTCCAACCGGTACTATCTGAACTCGCAGCATAATTGCCTTTATTAATCAGAGAAGAAGCCAAACTCTCAAATACAGCTAGAAGCAGGGGAATTACCTTTCCCATCTGGTCTAGAAATGCCACCGATTCTCTAGCAGGCCCATTAACAATCCCAGGTGTAAATTTTAGTTGCTTTGGCGCTGGAAGCAACATTGGAGACAAATGACCACTCATGTCGTCTGCATAATGCTTCGAAGAACTGTGTGAGCTATCCTGTTGATTTTGATTCACAGGAGTAAGAAAATTACACTTCCTCCCAAAAAATAAAAAAGGAACTAGGGTCCTCATTCATTGGTGCTAGGGTTAGAAGCCAGGAATCAGGAAAGAAATGGTGTTTTCATCACAAATTCCAGAATATTGTTGAATCACAAGTAATAGAAACCCATTTACGATATCACATGAATGGACAATTGAAGCAAAATGTTACACAAGTATTTACAAAATGTTGTTGCCAGGCAAATTCTTCAGCCTATGTTGAGGGGTTAATGGTTCATCTCTTACAAATCTCTATGATTAAAGTTGACCAAAATCTAGGATATTACAATTCATGACTTAGAATTAGAAGAACAAATGCAGCACGTATGATGATGAAAACTATGAAATGTTGAGTAGGCATTCTCACCGAAGCTGATGAGGCAAAGGCAATTGCAACAGCTTGTTCTCTCATCTTTTGCTCCTTCAGAAGTTCCTTCCTCTGGATCTCACTTTGTCTTAGTAAGATCAAAAGATCATTCAATTCATCTTTAATTTCCTTGATTTCCATATCCTTTTCCCACAATCGGCATCTGTTGACAAATGGATGCCTACAATAGTCAGTTCTAACAGACATCCACCAAATTTTATCAAAATAAATAAGCACAATTGACACTGTCATCAGTTAATCCAATTACAGAGGGAAGAAGGTAATTTGGGTAAGTTAAATTGGAAGTACAGAGTCTAAATAATTAATAATCCTAGTAAAACATTTGATCCTTGTCCATGTAAACCACCATCAACCTTCATCTTCTTTTCTTCTCCTGTTTGTTTGATTCACGGAAAATTATGTCAGTGTAAATTGGTAAAGGAGAATGCCCAGGTAAAAGTGAATCTAAAAGTGGCTCTTTTCTACTTCTAATCACTTAGCTTATATAATCTTTTACTTAACTGGGCACAGATTAGCCTTACATTTTCCGTATATCAAACTGACTGAAATTAGAAGTTAGTGAATCAAAACTAACTGAAATTCTTTGGGAAGGTATATCACAACAAAATCTGATTGCCAAAAGAAAAGGTCCATGTCTTCACCGCATTACCTATCATCTGCAGCTGCAGTAAACATATACTGAAGCAGGTTCTTAGCTTCTCCCATTGAACGTATTTGGTTCCAATGTCCACGACCAATAAAGGTACGCTCTCTTTCTCCTGCTTCCGAAAGTTGTGAAGCCATTGTTGCTAGGGCACTTGCAGATACTCTCAGCATGTTCTCCAAAAAAGCAATTCTAGCCATTCTTGCATTTGGTGACATCAATGTCAATCTGGTTGGGTGAAAGAAACAAAAACCTCTAAATTAATCCAATAAAGAAAAGGATACCTGTATTTCCATCTTATTACATCATAAGTGATTTTCTTCATGCATAATCCCAAATACATCCATCAATTGTTTCATGAATCATATTCAGGTTTGAAGCTGGTTGAACAATCATAATTTGCAGGTTACAAATGAGAGCAATTAATTAGAAATATACCTAGCATGTCTATGTCCATTCTTTCCTTCTTGCGGACTACTTCCATTTGGAGAGAGCTGGTTCACTTGTTTCAACAAGGCTAACTCCTCTGCTAGTGCAGCATGTCTGTTGAGTTGTTCTAATTAATAAAATAGAAAGCATGTACAGATGGCAACAAAGAAAGGTGATTTATTGACTACATACTCTTGTTTTTGCTTCTCTTGTTGAAGACGAACTTCATGCACTTTCACCACTACTTCAAGCTCGTGATCAAGCCATCTTCTTAAGGATTTTTCATTGCCCTAAAAATCAAACTCAAATTAACTTATTTCTCATAATGATTTTGCAGGCTAAAATATGATCCAATTCACTGATGGGTCATTTCAATAGGTCAATCTTACTGCTTCATAGTTCTTGTGAGGTAGCTCATAATGTTTTAAAAGACACCGGAAGAAATTGAAATAAGCACACTTCTTATAATGTTTTTAAAAGGCAGACAAAGGCATCCAGCATATGAACCTAATCATGTTAAACATATAATATTTCCAAAACAAACACAGAGAAGGAACATGTTGATTATGACTTAGAGCCTAAACTGAACCCAACCAGTCCATTCAGAGGTTGCTCTGATTTGAACAAAAGATGCTGACTCTATCAACTTATTACACTATAATCAACTGGAGAAGTCTAGATCATTACCTGCCCAGGCGATAAATGTCCATTGGAATTAGCTGTAAGGGACAATAAAACAATCAGTGTATCATAAATTTTAAAGAAACTAATTCAAAGAAGAAATATTTACCTGAACTCTCACGTGGTGAAGACTTGCGGGCTTCCAACAACTCCTTTAGCCTTTTGCTAGCCATTGCCGCCTCCTCTGTCTTCCTTTGAAGAACCTGAAACAAGAGAACACCCATGCAACCTTCCTTAAATATTAATAAAACAAATCAACTACAAAGCCTAGTCAATACTCGGTATTAGTTGCCACACCCCAGCACATGACCTAGTTCAGCCCATAGAACTGCTATAAGAAACAGGCAGTGCACAAACATGAAAAAATATATGGAAAACAGAAGCAACGGTAAGATGTTATTCATGATACTAATGCTTATACTATGCCTTGCCAGACATCCTTACCATTTTCTGACGTTGATGCAGGGCTTCAAGCTTATGCCTCTCATGCTCATTTCTCCTGCCCTCCTTTCTTAGCTGCTTGAGCATAACCAAAATCAAAACCACAGAAAGCTCACATGTATAAAAAAAGAATAAAGCATGACAGAATAAAGCATGACAGAACTTGCCAACACCATGTTTGAAAACGTCAAAGTGATGGGTTAAAAAAATGATCTTGCAACAAAGCATAGCCCAACATTGTTGTTTCTTTTTTTTTCTTCTTTTGGATAGTGAATCACCTGCAGCAATTCCTTCTCTTGACTGGCCTTCCATTGTCGAAATTGTTCTGCTTCTTGTTTTATCTTGTGTTGCAACTGAACCTAAAAATTGAAGAATGCACAAGTTGGACAAATATCGAAAACATAAGATATGATTAAGGTAATCAAAAAATTTGCAAAAGCTGAGTGGAAACCAACCTTTTGAGCCTTGATATATTGTATTTCAGCTTGCAACCTATTCGCTGCTTCATCACTTCTTTGTTTTTGCTTCAAAAGCTCGAAGTGGCTTTCTTGTTTCTTTTTAAGATCTAAAATCTGAATATGTATGATGGAATATAGCTTAAAATCACACAAAAGAGCATGTCATGCCAACAGAATGATGACCAGATGAAGCATAATGTTACCTGTGCCTCAAGTGCTTTTAATTTCTGAGAATGAATATCTTGTGTTTTCTGTGCTTGTCCATCAGAATTGGCAGCAAGGTTCTCAATTTCAACCAATAAATGATCCCTCTCTTGCTGTGTTCATTTTACTTATCATAAGCCATAACATTGAAGCTGAAGTAAACAGCAAATATTCAATCATGTACAATTTACCTGAACAGTTCTTTTCTCTTCCTCGAGTTCCAAAATTTTCTTCCTGAACTGCTGCTTCAGAACTTCAGTGTCAACCCCTCCAAAAAGTTTCATCTCAGACTGCATAAAAAAAGAGTAAACTGAGGCCAAACTCAACATGGTGGACAGATATCAAAAGATTTTCTTTGTGATTTTGATCACTAAAAGTAAGAATTTCTTTTTTCTTTTTTTTTTTTGGGGGGGGGGGTGTTGGGAATGAAGTTTAATCGATAATCAACATTTAAGGTTACTTGTGGGAGTATGACTTCATATGGCAACTAGAATTGGACATGCTTGGCTATTATAAGCTAACATGCTTATACATCAGCATCAAGTTAGTTTGACTAAGAAGATATCAAAAGACTTTCTTTGTGAGTTTAATTGATAATCAACATTTAAGGTTACTTGTGGGAGTATGACTTCATATGGCTACTAGAATTGGACATGCATGGCTGTTATAAGATAACATGCTTATACATCAGCATCAAGTTAGTTTGACTAAGAAGCAACGCAAAAATAGGTTCCTTGTATAAGTTAAAACTAAAAATCAACTAACTTAGAAAATATGCCAGCCTGCAATGTTACATTCCTGTCCACCCAAAAGAAGGTTATTAAATAGTCATAGCAAAAATCTGCATATCCAGTTCTTCAAACAACAAAAAATAGAATAAGTTCCGAAAGCATCACCTTCCTATTTTGTAGAATGTTTCAAATAATCGATATTTTCATAGAAGAAACAGCATGGATAGTTTCAGGAGGCACCAAGAGTTTTATTAGGAGCATTGGCGCTAGAGGGCAACACACACACAAAGATGCTCCAAGAAAACAAAAACGAAATGTAAGCACTCAGACTTTAGAAACTCTAACATCTCCAAACATCAAAGGTTGTAGGTCCCACAAAAGATTAAACCAGCCACAATAAAATGGATGATGTGCAATGGAAAATGGAAATAGAAAGACATGCACCTTTATTTTAAATGCATGGGTGTGTGTGAATATATATTATCTGGATTGAAAGTTTTTATTATTATTTTTTTGGATGAAAAATTAATTTCAATCTAAAGTACTTATTTTCCAATCGTTAAACTAACAAAATCATTTATTATCATCAATGTATGAGATTTATAGAACAAGGCCACAAACAGAACCTCTTTTTGCTCCAAACGTTTGTTCAGCTCATTCAATTCTTTATCCATGGTGCTTTGTACAAGTGTGTGCTCCCATTCTTTTGCTGCTTCATCAATTTCCCCAGAGCTATCACCTGCAGAATGCAGTTGCAATCAAGATGTAAGAGAAGTGGCAAATGGAACACATGACATGCATAATATCACCCTAATAGGTGTGGCAGCTGCTTTGATCTGCTCCCTAAATTATTCTTCTACAACAGGCTGGACAATATTAGTAAACAAGAAATTTACCTGATATTCCTTCATCCATATAATACTCATCAGATGAGTCCATACTCTGAAAGTTCCTCTTAAGTCCATCACTTTTTGCAGAAGTGGCATGCCCCTCCTGAGGTTTAAAACCAAATTGCATTACTATGAATCTAATAATTAAAATTAGATGTCACTACATTAGTGAAAAAAATGTAAATAAAACCATAAGGTACCAATAAGAAAATTTTATTTTGGGGAAAACAAAACCAGAAAGAGAAAAGAGAATAGATAAAAATTAGAATTTCCTTTGACATACATAAGCATCAATTTCACACTTCTCTGTAATAGCACATCGGCTCCGGTATTCATGAAGTTTTCGAGAAAGGTCCTCATTTGTAGCCTCAAGCCAAGCAATCCTTTCCCTGAGAACCTGTTGAAGCAAAGGTTTTAACTCATTAAGCATACCACAACTAAATGCATATATTTCCCTAAAAACAAAATGAACTAGCTTGATCGAATCATGGTTTTAGAAGATTGCATATACCTGTACTTCATCTGAAGCAGCTCTAACCCCACGAGCACAAAGTTCTGCCTGCAAGTACTTTAACTGTTGGCGCATCTGTTGCATCTCATTGGATATTAAATCTCTATTAGCCTGTATAACAAAAGGAGATTCATTGCATCACGATAGGTGGCAGCTGAGACCTGATCAGTTTTACAATCTACAAGATATGTATGGCAGGCCACGAATATTTAAGTGATAGAAGAAACTTACAACTAGCTTATTTTGAATATTGCGTGCACGGTTTGCGTATTTGAGAGTGTTGAGAGTCTCCTCAGCATTGATGTCAGCAGGACTGATGCAAGCTGGAAGAAAGAAAACTTTCAGAAATTGAAGAACAATATAAGTTTCTAATTGCATTATAGATAGCAATATAAATCAAGATATCTTGAAAATATCTGCATCTTGTCACCAAAAGCACTTTTAAAGAAAAATTAAGCATGACTATTGATTACCTATCATAACAGTTTTGCTGTTTCCACCAAGAGAATCCTGCCAAAGAATAATCAGAAATATTAAGGCCCTGTTTATTTGCTAGAAAGTAGTTTATTTTTAAGTGAATTCCGAGAAAATGAATTATTTTCCGATGTTAGGTAGTGTAATAGAAAATAAGTTCGAAAACATTTTTTAGTGTTTGGTTATATCATGAAAAATGAGTTGGAAAATAAATTATTAATGTTTTATTTTTTTCAAGTTTATTAAAATAATAAGGAACAAATCTTACAAATTAAAAGGTTGAATGAGAATGAATGGAATAGAAAAAAATATAATTTAATAATTTATCTCAAATAAAATAAATAATAATCAAAATAATAAAGATCAAATTTAACAAATAAAAAAATTGAAAGATAAAGAAATTAAAATAATAATAATAATAACCATTTCATAAATTATTTTAAATAAAATACGTAACAATAAAAAGAATGAAGACCAAATTTGATAGATAAAAAATTTCAATTAAAAAATGATAAGGGAAAAACAAATAACAATTATAAAAATGAGGACCAAAGTTTAATATAAAAATTAAATTCTAAGGGATGAAATTGAAAAACAAATATTCAAAACAAAATATATATAGCAATCAAAAGTTTTGAGGATCAAATTTGATATAATCAGCAAGTAATATGACATTTCTAAATTTTTCACAACTTTCGGAAAGTGTTTTCCGCCCAAAGTTTTTAGGAAAACACTTTCTTGAAAAGTAAGCCAGATTTTTCTTTGACTGGAAAGTATTTTCCGTTGACCAACTTTCCTAATGACAAGCAAATACAGAAAAGTTTGGAAAAAGGTTTCCAGGAAACCACTTTCCGCCAAACAAACGCCCCCTAAGAGAAATTGAATTGGCAAAAGGAAACTCTTTAACACTTCTCTTGTAAGACCTGGAAGAGATCTTGTTTGTCATTTCTGATGCCAACAAATCCACCACTCTGATATTGTGTTCCATTAAATTTTCAAACCAAAAATGCTGAACCATAATGAACTGATACCTAATGTCTAAAGCCCCAACAACTAAATTTTAACATGCATAACTACACCCATTATTAACCCACTAGTTACCAAATGACTAACTAGTAGTTGGAAAGTTTTCTACACTATGAACAACCGTATGAAACTACATGGTTTGTTAATATCCTCAATCCCTTGTTGTTTGCAGCATAATGCTTAACAGTTGAAACAAAAATAGTAAGTGTAGCCTAACAGAGGTGCACAGCACATGGAGAAACAACAATAACAAACCAAGACAATATTGGCCTCTCCTATACCATGTTCAAGCCTTCAGCCCAAAATTTTAATCATCAGAAACTAGACTTGTATTAAATTTAAGCATCTTACTAGCATTTTTGCAAATACTAATTAGCACATATAGTATTATGGTAGCTGCTATTGTTGTGGTTTGAAAATAGTTATTTTATAAAAAATGTTTTTAGTTGAGGTTAATTTGATATTTATGTATGTTTGGTTAAAATTGTGGTTAAAATTAAGGTTGAACAAAAGGTAGTTTAATGTGTTTGGTTTCTGAAATTGAGGTTATAAAATAATTTTTAAAAAAAATATATTAATATTGATGATTTTTAATTTAAATATTGTAGATTTAACTATTGTTATTATATCATGAAATAAATAATACTTTATATAAAATATTTTTTATTGTTCCATTAAACTATCTACAATTCCATCACGTATGAAATACATTCGACAAGGACTATAGTTTTTTGGGTTTTTTAAACAGGCAACATCAGGTAAAATATAATCAGGAACAAAATTGAAATTGCGATCAAATTTTGTGAATGTTACGTCATCCAACGATCTCTATGTAATTTATGTAATGTCATTGAATAATATTAAACACTAGTTTTTTAAATAAAACACAATTAGAAAATAAAATATAATTTTTATTTTTATTTTACCGGGTCGAACCTAGTTCAATGCTTATTAAGCTTTGAACCGAACTCGGTCCAGCCGGAACAGTAGAGCTTGCTATACTGTTCAGTGAACAGTGTAGCATGCTAACTGCTTTTCTTTTCCCTGTGTTTTGTCCAAAAAACATCGTGGGACCCATGAAAACCAAACAAGTTACATCTATATTTTAAACAAAACGCAGACACAACCTCATTACCAAACGGACTCTTAGTCTTAATGTGTAGCTTTAATGTATACTATGTGCAAAAACGTTTTTCACTATTTAAAACAATTGAGACATCTGAAGCTTAAAATACCAAGTGGAGATTCCCATAAATATCAGACTTTGCATTTGACCACTCAAGAATTACTCAACATCCTTAAAAAAAGAAAAAAAAGTTACTGAGAGCAGCTTTGTAATGTGACCTATCCGAGTGGAACTTGTTGGAAGACAAATGCATAATGAGAATTACCAAGTCCTATGCTTTGTAAGGCAAATGTTTCATTTAATTTGCATTGACCTTTTTAGTTTGTAATAACATAGTAAAATATGCTGATGAGATGTCAGTAACATGGGAAATTCACGTAACAATTGGCTGCATAGATATTAGGAAATTGCATGAATCATGTCAACATTAGCGACACAAATTAGTAACATGAACAAACAGTTTTTTTGGTTAATCTAACCTGTAAGAGTCGGGTCAGTTTACTGTCTCGGTAGGGAACATGCATGCCTTCTTTTCGTTTTTTTTCATCCCCCAAAGCACTGATGACATTACCAAGTGCAAGAAGCCCCTTATTAATGTGAATACCTGCTCGTGTGAACATAATTGATACTTTGTCACAACAACAACCAAGTCTCAATCCCAGACTTGATGAGGTCAGCGGTGTGTGTGTGTGTGTGTGTGTGTGAGAGAGAGAGAGAGAGAGAGAGAGTAGTAGTGAGAGGAAAAGCTAGAGTATGTTAGCTAAAGTTCATTTACCTACCTTCTTTCAAACGAAGACCGTCAGTACCAGTTCTTTTTGCTCGTTCAGATCCAGCTAGATCTACCAAATGGAGCTTTGCACAGAAATACTCTTCACCCATATCCTCATCTGGAGTGTCATTAACAGGAGAAACTGAATGGAGTTTGCGCATCTGTTCTAATGTGATCGTGAATATGGCATGCGAGCGACTTTTATGACATGAAGAAGGGAACGACATGACATTAGACTATGAAAATACATTGCCAAGTTATAATGATGAAATAAGCCTTCATAGCATCTACATTTATAACTTCAATATACCTATCTCTAGCAAAAAGGAGAGAAACCCGTTTTTGCAGCTAAAATGGAACATGGATGGACAAAAAAAATACTAATTATTTTATGAACTCAGCACACAAAGATTACCATATGATTACCAAACTCCTTAAGTGAATTTTCCATCGTTTGCCATATTTTATTTCTTACTATACTTTCTTGATTTTCTGTCAAATACAACTATGGATACTTGAGAAATTTAGTTACCTATTAAATAGATAGGATTTCCCCCAATTGTACAATGAAGTTTCATAGTTAATATCAACTTTCAAATAGCAAAAGTAATTGAAGAGTGTTTCTCAACCAAAAGTTTTAATTGCTTCAATAGGAAGGCATGGAAAGTTAGTCAGAATGAAATCTCAAATTAGGCAGAATGGATCTTTTGATGTTCACAGTTTACCTGGACTGGTTATTCATATTTGTACTTCCTGTTGCCCTACATAATGATCCTTGCTCCAAGCACGCTGCCATTTCTTGCAATGTACTGACAGCTACTTCAGTTGATCCTGCTAGAGTTATAACTCCATTCGATGCTTCACGAATTTGTATTGGAGACTTCCCAGGAACTGCAACTTTCCCAGCATGTCCATTAGCAACCACTGATTTACTCTCAGATGCAGAATCCAGCAAGTCCCTCACTTCTTCCCTTAAGATCTTCAAATTGGAAACCCAATAATTAAATGCTCAACATAGAGGAAATCATGTATTAATGAACATTTAATGACAAAAGAATAGCAACCTATCCATCAGTTGCCAATTTATACACTACATAAAACTGGATTTCTGTCCAAAAGTTCTTCTCAGTGTCCATAGCATTAACACAAGAAAAGATATTTTAACCTACCACATGTTATTCAATATCATTTTAATTTAAAATTTGATTTTCCCCTTTTCATATAATTACATAGTTCTGCAGAGGAAGCTTTGAAGATTAATATCTTTTTACATACCAAACATGATGCATTGAACTAGATAGTTAGCACCATTTATGGTGCACGACTCAGGGCATATCTTTAGGTCCTTAATCATCTGAGACTGACAGTTTCTCTATGAAATACCTACCTCTATGAAGGACACATGCAATTGGAATTCCGTTTGATGCTTCAGTGTTTCAATCTTGTTGAATAATGCACCCATAACTTGAGGAATCAGTCCAGTATGGCAACCATCTTTGAAGCCAGTTCCCATAGTATATGTCTTCCCCGATCCCGTCTGCAGCAGCGTGTGTGTGTGTGTGTGTATCATTATCAATCTCCAATTAGAAAACCCAGCATTCGTGAGAAATCATATGCAAGAGCCGTGACATTGTATAGAAGGTAATATTCAGGGCGGGGTAGGCATTACCTGACCATACGCAAGAACCGTGGCATTGTATCCTTGGAACAATCCATCAACAAGTGGAGCAACACATTGTTCAAACATGGCAGATGGCTCTGCGCCACCATTTCCATAGACATGATCAAATGTAAATGAATGTGTCCCAATTTGTACCTAAGACATCATCAAAACCATCAGCATTCTTACCCCTTGTTTCTTAAAATATCCGAGAATCCAACTTCCTAACAATTGATAAAGAGATAATGCGCGTCCAACAATATAACGAATTATCAACAAAGCCAGAGAAGGAAAAAAAAACAATAAACAGAAAAAGAAAATGACATGCAGTACAGGTACGGTAATAAGGTAAGTAGTAGTAAGCAGATTCAGGTCATCAAAAATCAAGAAAGAAGCCAAGAAACTCAACAAAGACTAGATTAAATTCTTAATTCAGCTCATACAACAACAAGAGAGAGAGAGAGAGTGGGGAACTAGAGAACTACATAGACACCTGAGGTAGTCGAGGAACAACAGAAACACAATCTTTACAACCTTGAAGACGCTCGTCGGCAATAAGGGGTCGTATATGAAGCGCAACCTTAACACTACAAATCTCCGATGACGGTGTCATTTCCATAAGCAGTTAAGAAGAAGAAGAGAGAGGAACGAGGAGGTAAATACTTTCCTTGGAAGATAGATTAGTTAGAGAGAAATTAGGGCGAGGAAAGTGATAGAGCAGCAACGAAGACAAGAGGAAGGCGGGGTTGGGATATTTGTTCTGATGGGGTAATCACTGTTAAACTCAATTTATAACATTCATCAATTTTTCTTCCCTCTTCTGCTTGTTGTGTGAGCAAATTGTTGCAGCTTCATTTTCCTCACTGCTCCTGAGCCGCAGACAGACAAATTATTATATTACTACTGGTAAAAGCAGGAGCAGTGAGTCGGAGTGAGTTGGAGCGAGAGAGCGACTACAACAGCTTACTTCGACCAATCAAGGTTACCCCACCCCCTCTGGCTGTCTGTATCCTAGACTGGTACTCGAAGAAGAGGACCGCCCTTCTTTTCTTTTCTTTTTTTTTTTTTTTTGTGCTCTCTATTTTTTCATTCCCAAATTGCCCTTTTAATAAAAATTCTTATTAAATCTATCTGGATACCTCAAACAGATATGGAAAATATAATTTTTAAATCGTATAGATAATGATTTAGTCTCGGGAGATAAACTTAATAATTTAAAAATAATACAGGAGTTTTTGGTATGACTGCTGTGCAGGGTATTTTTTTTTTAAAAAATTATTGTTATTTAATTATCAAGAAATATTAAAAAATATAAATTAAATTAAAAATACATTTAAAAAGCACTTAAACATCACGCTAAGCAAGAGACCTGCACTAGTCTTTAAGTATATATTTTTATATAGTAAAGGGAGGCTTGAAGAGCCGAAAGCAACGGCCAGGATCAAAACCAAAACGTAAGACGAAGGAACAAACAGCTTTCTGGGGCCTCCGTCACGTGCTAATAACTTCACCGAGCCTTATAGCTGGCTGGATCCACTAATCCCACTTTTGTGACATTTGCTTACATTTCTCACTGCCAGCTGTTTTTTTTTCTTCGTTTTGGCTGGCAAATGGAAATGAGAGTTAAAAAGTAACTTTTTGAGCTTGGCTGGTTTATTCCTTTCTTCCCGGGGGATCCAAATGGAAAGCTACGAGAAAAAAATTATTTTTAAAAAAATTTTAATGAAGAAAAATTATTTTTTAATATTCAAAAGCATTAAAATACATTATTTAAATATCAATTCTTCCATCTCTACATCTTTTCTCAATGCTTTTATAAAAACAATCAAAAATATTAATATTAAATATATTAAAATAAAAATAGATTGTTAAAATAGATTTTTTTTTTAATTGTAGTGCATGTAAAAAAATCATATTTATGTTATTTAAAAAATTGTTTCAATAATTTAGTTTTTCTAAATGGTTTTTGTTATTAAAAATGCTCTTAATTATCCCAACACATGATTTTTTTTAGTTTCTTTTATAAAAAAATATTTTTCATATATATTTAAATGAGTTTAATAAAAATAAATAAATTATAACCTCAATACTTGAACATAAAAATTAAAGAAAATGAACAAACCTTTTTAATCACCATTCATCCATCACAGAGAACAATACTAACACATAACACATGATTAAAAAAAATAATTTAATCAAATCATATAAACCCGAAAGAATGTTTTTCTTGTAAATTTTATTCTTTTCAAATGAGGTTACACTTATGAGAAGAAATGTAATGTCAATTTCTATGTGATCATTTATATATTGCTTGATTAATTTTAGAGAGTATTTAGAAGTGTGATAACAATTGTTTTTTAAAGTATTTTTTGCTCAAAAATATATTAAAATAATGTTTTTTTATTTTTAAAAATTATTTTTGACATCAATACATTAAAATAATTTAAAAATATAAAAAAAATTAATTTAAAGTAAAGAAAAAAATTAAAAATAATTTTTTAAAAAAACTCCTTTAAAATGCAAAATCAAGTTGATTGATGTGGTACAATATAAGTTAAGCAAACTTCCAGATAGAACAATTACTTGCAACTTGTTTGACTATAAGAAATGTTAGGAGAGAAATTGCTTAAATCTCAACCTTGAAGTTTCCTTTTCTTCACCCAATTCTGAATTCTTGGACTTTAATTCGACCGTTAGCTTGGATGCTAGCCAAGGAACCATAAGAAGGCCCCCACTCGTAAATATGATTTCAAACAGTACCCATCTTGACTTAATTACATGGTTAGTTCTTATGATCTTAGTTTTGTTAGTGTTTGTTATGTTTGGTCTGCACCACAACATCAAAATCAACCTCATCTTGTCCTAAAACGATCATGATTAGGATTTAAGGGAGGAGGCTAATCGGCACAAAACGACAAATGGTGTGCTTTCTAAAGAGTTCGGTGGTCAGATTTTGTTAATGATGGTGGATTGACTGACTTCCATTTTGATGGACTGAGAGGTCCACCGAATTCTTTCCTTAATTGGAAGGCAACATCGACATAATTGATGCCGTTCAATTCTCCTACTTGAGATCCTTTGAAATTGAAACAGCAGCCATGGTCTATACTAGATTATTATCCTGCATTTTTTCAAACATAAGAAAAAATATTCATGTCACGAGATAATTTTATTAAATTTAATTTAATGAATTAACTTAAAATCTATTTACTTAATTTTTATTAATTTTATATTTAAAATTAATTCATTTAAAAATTACCTATCAAACTTAAAAGATTCAAAAACAACATGGCTCGTTAATAAAACAAACAAAAAAATAACATTGTTTGACTTTTAAAAAAATTCAAGTGATATTCGGATTTAAAAACTTTAAGATGAATTAAAAGAATTTGTATAATAAAAAATATTATTTTAATATATTTATTATAATTTACAGTAAAATAATTTATCTAATCTTTAAAAATATATTAAAACATACACATTGGGATGAAATAATATATTTACATTTTTTTACATAGTATGATCACGTATATGACCTTAAAAAAAAATAAAAGAGAAGAAAAGGCTAACATTTGATGGGTATTTTGAATTTTCATATTTTTTTCACAGTGTAATTATCAAATAGTCCTTGATGTCAAATTTTTTTTCTTAGGACAAGGGGTATTTTCAGTTTTTCAAACCACGGTATTTTTGCAATTATCACGCAAGGTCAAGGTCCTTTAGTCTTTGTAACATGTTTATACAATTTAATTATCGAATAACTTTTGGAATCAACTTTTTCTTGCCTAAGGTCAAGGGTATGTTTAGTTTTTTAACCTTGATTTTTTTTGAAATTATCATATAGGTCAGGGGTGTTTTAGTTTTTTTATAATTTAAAAAAAATATTGGTGCGTGCAGAGCACACGCTAGCAAGTGAAAGGTGCTAGTGCCTTTTGAGCAGCTTGTGATGCGCCTCCTGGTGGCCATTACTGGTATTCAACAACGGCATTTGAAGCGTTGTGCTACCCTCCACCTAGTGGGTCAGTGCATGTCAGCATTCCTGATATGGCAAAACTTTGGTAAAAATTTTTTTTTCTCTTCTTTTTTCTCTCTCCTTCACCTCAAAAAATGTGTTGGCTTTGCAAAGTTACAAAGTAGTTTTCAATCTTTTAATTGTATTGAATTTGATTTATTTATTTTTCAATTTCATTCATTAGCATTTGATTTTTTATATTTTTTATCAAATTTAATCCTCATTCTTTGATTTTTATTTATTTTTCTTTTAATATTTTTCTAATTGGAATTTATTTTTTGATTTAATCCCTAATCATTTGATTTTAATTTTTTTTTGTTAAATTCAATCCTTATTTTTATTATTGTAATTCCTTTTATTTTTAGTTTTCTTATTTATTGATTTTGTTTGGCAATTTAATTACTCTTTGTTTAATTACTCATTGTATTTTCATTTTTATATTTGATGCTTATTTTCTTATCATATTTTTAAAATCCACCCAGAGAGTCGACCACCGTCATGACCTCAGTCACGAGTTAGGTTGAGTGATCGGGGTTACCAGGGTCAATCAGGTTTTTTATTGTGCAGGAAGTAAAAATGATATTATTTTGATAAAAAATAATAGAAAAAAATATGTGTTGACATGATTTTCCCCTAACTAATCACTTGATTTTTTATCGAGCTAAAAAGTTAAAAAGTTGTATCATTTTGATAAAAAAAAAAATGGAGAAAAAAATCAATTATGATCCTCTTTCTTTTGATTGTTCTTTTTTTGTTTTGGATTTTTTTTAGATTGTTTTTTGTCATCCATTTTCATTTGATTTTATTTTGTTTTTATATCAAATATGGTACTCATTCTCTTTATTGTTTTTTTTTTTATTTCCTTGGTTTGCTTTTTTCTTTTAATTTTGTCCCTCTTCATTTTATTTAATTTCTTCTTTTTTTCTAGATTTAGTCCTCTTTTTTGTAATTTTTCTAGATTTAGATTTATGGTTAAGAATTTTGCTCAAGGTTTTTTATTATTTTTTATATGGTCATCTTGGTCTTATGATTAAAGTTGTTGATTTTGAAAATTAAAAAAATTAAAAAACCCCACGGCATATTAAGGGAAAAAAATAAAACTAGTAAATGACAAAGGAAAATGTTATTTCCAAGTATCATCGATAATAATCTTTTTATTTTCTAGACACATCCCAATTGCTTAATACTTTCATGTATGTAGTAATGCCCTGCACGAGGACATGCTGCTTTTTAGGAATTCAAGAGTGTGTTTTACAGTGGTCGAGATAGTATTGCTCGGTAATTAATCATGCTTTTTTCTTAAACAATACTATGATTTCGAGGGATGGAGATTGCTGCTTGACACGATTAAAAGATTGATGTCTTTTCCCAAGCGCAGGAGTGTCGAAGTAATAAATAACCCGGTAAGACCGAGGTCGAACCATAGGGAGGTTAATTGTACAAATTATAAATAACAATAATACAACAACAATAACAATAATAATAGTAATAACAACAATAACAATAATTACAATAATAGTAGTAGTAGTAGTAATAGTAGTAGTAGTAGTAATAATAGTAGTAGTAGTAGTAGTAGTAATAATAATAATAATAATAATAGAAGAAGAAGAAGAAGAAAAAGAAGAAGTTGATGAGAACTTTGAGATGGAAAGATTAACGTAAGTATTAAACAATGATAATAACAAATGTCAAGGTTAGAGGTTCCACTAATGGTATGTCAAACAAGTATAGTATAAACTCTTATTATTCAATTGGAAACCACACACAAATGAGGTTCTAATCAGATTATAGATTGTTAACATGATTACATTAGTCATCTTATTCGATTAATGCTAGTACTTGTAAATCTCATCAAGCATTCATGATTATAACTTATGTTAACAACAAATCAAGTTCCTTTCATAGCTTAGGTGGCGGTTATACCATACAGTATGTGCTATGAAAGTGTCAAGCATTTGTTGTACCAAGTGTTATACAACATAAATCAATATTAGTCATTTAACAAGCAAAGTATTAAAGAGTGAACAAGATACCAAATATAAAACATGTTAGTATCAAATATTAAAGTCCATATGAAGTTTACATTATACTTATTCTTACCCCATTAGTGTAACCTTTTTCACCTTGACATAATAAACTTAGCTAGACATAATGAAAGAAAGAAAAATAAATAAACATAAAAAGAACATAAAAAGATAAGAGTTAACAAAGCAAAGGAAAGGAATTGAAAGGCATAAACTTGATATTAAGGAAAGCAAAGTATAAACATTACAAAAAATACAAAGAGAGAAAGCAAGAGCATGATCTTGATCTGGACACCAAGATGCCTAAATACATGGCAAATGCCTCCATTTATAGGCCAAAATTGGGAACTATTGATTTGATGACTAATTGATGAGTGGGTGACCAACTCTTGACTTGGTGACAATCCTTATCTTCTCTTGTATGCCCAAAACGTCATTGATAACGTCAAAATTGGAGCCACTTGAAACATAAAAGTTGTAGGAAAATGTCTCAGCTTTCTTGT